CTGACCCTCCAAGTAGGGTTTACGGGTTTTAGTGCTTGGGGTTGAGGGGTTCGGAAAGGTTAGGGTTCAGGTTAGGGTTTAGAGATTAGGTTCAGTGTTGAAGCACTGTTGGCATCTAGAATGGTATCCACAAGGGACTATTCGACGTTACCTGGTTCTGCCTTGGGTTTTTGAATACCTCGGCGTGGCGATGAGGATGTTTGTTGGGAGATGGGTGAAGGTTCGAATCAAGGGAAGAAGTTCCAAAGCCTTTAATACCGTACTTTCCAATCCTTGATACTCAAATCTTGCATCCCTAAACCCTAGGCCCTATAGCCCAACACATTTGAATTCCTTTCCTAGACACCTAATGTTTGAAAGCCGAATCCCTGAAGCCTAAACCTCATTCCTGAAACCCTAGGCTCTATAGATTAATCCTCGAAGCCCTAGTAGTGAAGCCTGCCAGGACCCCCGAAAAATGGCTGAACATAAGGCGTAACAGCATGAAACTAGTAGTCTAGCCTCCTTACAGGGGGCTATATAGGGCATTCTACCGGATTTATTGTGGCTTTTTGGGGTGGATGCTGGGAGTTTAGACTACAGCTCGCATGCCATCAGGGTTCCGCTACAGCCTAATCACTCTGTCAGGACCTTGAGAGCACCTTCACCCTAAACCCTAAACCCTAAACCCCTAAACCCTAAACCCTAAACCCTAAACTGTCAGGACCTTGAGAGCACCTTCAGGTATAACCTGACACGCACAGGCCGAGTGGTTGCCGTATTGGACCCTTAGGGTTGGCTGATCTTTAGGAACCGTGTGTTCGGGGTTTGGGGGTGCGGACATGGGATCAAGAACCCCTATATAAACCCAAAACGCCTAAACCCCTAAGCCCTAACCCCTAAGCCCCTAAACCCCTAAAGCCTTGAACCTCTAAACCCTTAACCCCAAAACCCAAAACCCCTAAACCCCTGAGCCCTAAACCCTTAATCCCTAAGCCCTAGACCCTAAACACCTAGAGCCCTAAACCCTGAACTGCCCCCTAAACCCCTAACCTCTCTGGCTCAGAGCTTTGGACGGCTAATTGCTGACTTCAAACAACGCCGCCACCATCCATATGAGCTATACGGTTTATATGGGGGTTTCCCCAAATTAGGGGTACCTTTTTGGGGGTCCCCTATTAAGGATTGTAGGTTATTTGGGTCTATATTGGGGTCCCCTGATTTTGGGAAACTACCATATGAGACCTCCCAAGGGACCGTTAAGGGCTTGGGCTTGGATTTATGGGGTTTCTGGTTTAAGGTTGCCAAGGGTCCATCGGGTCCCTTTGGTTGTTTTGTTTCTTCCCTCTATACTCCTGAATAGGAACCCATGTTCATTCCTTTTTCGGGAAATTGGCTGTAGCTTCTACGCCACATTGAAATGCGCAAGGTGATTTAGTCCGCCGGTTCTTGCAAGAGACTTCTGCTTCTTTCTTGCAGGGATTCACGGTGTTGAGGCTAGGGCATAAGGTGCACTTAGCTTGGTGGCTCAGGTCTTGAGGTTTCGACTAGGCGGAAAAATCCTCTTGCATCTGGTTCGTAGGGAGTGAAAGAATGCGACCTTTTCCTCTGTAATCAGCTGGGTTGCTGTTAATAGTTAAGGAACTTAATTTAAGTTACTATCTTGGGGAACCCTATAATTTGCGACATATACCCATTAGGGTAGCTTGCTTGAAGTTCCCCAGTCAGTGTAATCTCAGAAGTAATGATTTGAACGACCCACTCCTTCGTTCCTAGCAGTAAGTAAGCTCCAACAGCACAGAGAGCTTCTGGAGGCCTGTCTTGTGATCATCGTAAAATTGGTAGGCGTTACCAGTGTTGTTAGCACGACTTATTATTTTGGTTTAGCAGTTCAGGGTTTAGGATTAGAGTGCTATTGTTGACATTTTCAAGCTTCAAGTATAATCTAAAGGCCGTGCGTGTGCTTTCAAACGCTCGAAGTTTGCACCGCTTCCTGGGAGACAAGCGCATGTATGTTGCATACTTAAAGCCTCTAGGCGTTTCCTTTTTGGGTAGTATTAGGTTTAGGGTTTAGGGCTTAGGGTATTTTCAAAGCCCTTACCAATAAACATAACAAACCCCAAATGGAGTATATGGGAGGCCTTAAGATCAGCTTCAACCGACAGGAAATCGATCAGCTGCTTTTGGGCAACAGCAGACCCGCATTCCTTAACCCCATATCTTCCTGTATACCCCCATATAACCCCTAGTGCCCTTTAAAAGCTTATATACCCCTAGACAACCCCTAGTAGCCCTTCAAGACGGACCGCTGTATAGTGGTGCGTTAACCAAAAGGCTGTGTCGGGAGCTCGGAAGTAGGCAAAATAATAGCCCAACACCCCACGTAACGGTTTAGGTTTAACGGTTTTACATATATCGGGGCTCTTAAACCCTAAATCCTAATCCTTAATGAAGCTCTTTATGGCAATTGTGTTAATTACATACTTTGGGGAGTCCCTAAACCTGAAACCCCAAACCCTGAACTTTAAACCCCATACCCTAAACCCCAAAGCCTAAACCCCAAATCCTAAACCCCAAACCCCGAAACCCCAAGCAAACCCGAAACTGAGTCTTGGTGTGGTAGCACTTCCTTCCATCTTTTTTTGTTTCTCAGCAGAACGCAGAACGCAGGTCGAGCTGTGACACCTCCAAGGGCAAGCTTACCAATTCGTGGGTTTAGAGGCTAGGGTTTAGGGTTTAAGGCTTCGGGCTTATAGAGTTTAGGGCTTACTTGAGTTTTTTGGGAGTCTAGGGTTCAGGATTTAGTCCTGAGCGCCCCAACACTACGGCCTACCCTGAACGCTGGTAGGCCACAATTTTGGAGAACTTCTCCCCATGAGGACATATGGTAACCCGTTATTCGGTCTAGACTGACTTTGCAGGAAAACACTACAACAGCCCAGGATACCTGGAATGAGCCTGTGTACCTCACTCGGACTCTCAGAAGCAGGATTTTCAGAGTTGGTCGATTTGGATCTTTCAGTGTTTTGGCTTTGGGTTCGGTCCTTCACCCTTACAGTAACAGTTGCCACATCGATTTGTTTGACCAATATATGTGTATATATATATATAAACCTAAACCCTAAACCCTAAACCCTAAACCTATATATATATATATATTGCCCCTAAAAATGAGCCCTTGAACCCAAGGTTTGGGGTCTCGCGGTTGAGGTTGCTCAGGATTTTCTAGGGCGAGTAGATTGCTCTGCAGAGATTTGGAGTTTTTGGGAATCAGGGGTTTAGGGTCAAGAGTTAAGGGGTTTAAGGGTTTAGGGTCTAGGGTTTAGGGTTTGAGTTATTCGCCATGACTCACCTTCACATTTTTGGGAATTCGTGGAAGGTGCATGAGACCCCATGTAGGCTCCCCTTAGAAAGGCAGCCTTTTTTGGGGTTCCATGTTAGATCGTTGGAGGCTTCCAAACCCTAAGTTTCCGAAAGCCTTGAAACACAACACCTTAAACCCTAACCCTGGACACCAGAAACCCTCATCCTAAACCATAAGCCCTAGGGGGCTGAAGATCAGGATTTGGACGGTCTTTGAGCAGTTCGCCGCGTGCACCTTGCAGATTCCGGTGACTTTCGTCATGCCTGAGGCTTGCTCTTCGATCGACAGAAATAATTAACATGGCCCCTTTCAAAGGGTTTACGTAGTTCGCCAAACGAGGATTGTGACATTTCTTGGGGGTAAGGGGGAATAGCATTCTATCCAAAAAGGAAGTAATAGGAGGCTCCGGGTTTAGGGCTGAAGGCTTGAGGAATGATGATGTTTGGGGGTTGAGGGTTTAGGGTTTAGACTTTGCCCACAAACTATCCCTTACTTCATTCAGCTGGCACTCTGCTCGGGAAAGCGGCTTCCACCATCAAACCAAAGCCCTCAGTCCCTCAACGCTTAACCAATAAACCCTGAACGCTTGCTGTACGTCCTTAGCACCAAACCCCCAACCCACAAGCCCTCAAATCTAAACCCACTGCCCAAGGCGTCTTCTTTAGTATCTTCTTGAGTTGCATATTATAATCCCTTACCGAAAATAACCATCACACATGCAAACAGGAACTTGCCTTAGCTATCTATCTATCTATATATATATATGTAGAAATATATACATATGCTCTTCTATACTTCCATAGATCCCTTTAATAGTTATTCAAGCTGCAGGCCATAGACCTTCAACCTGCAACCCATTGACCCCAAACCCTAAACCCGAGACCCCAAATCAAACCCTGAATCCTAAACCCCTAAACTTTGAACCCCTAAACCCCAGACCCCCAACCCTAAACCCCTACATCCCAACCCTAACTAATCCTCAAACCCTAAAGCTTAAATCCACTACTTGGAGGGTCAGGGGGACTTAGTAAGTAGGTTAAGAACCCCTATAACCCATATAGTATCCCCAATTATCCCCCTTATTAACCTAGCTACTAAGTCCCCCTGACCCTAAACCCTGAACCCTAAACCCTAAACCCTATAGCAGGTTCCATGTTCTTTTCCATTATTACTAACCCTAAACCCTAAGCCCTAAACCCTAAACTTTTTCCATTCTTACTAAGTCCCCTTGACCCTCCAAGTTGCCACCTTGCAGGCTTCTATGGCATCTTTGCAGCTGAAGATTCTGGAGGGGGAGCGTGGGCTCAAGGACCTGGTAAAGGGTTAGGGTTTTAGGGCTGTTAGGGTTTAAGGTTTTAGGGTTTAGGGTATAGGGTTGTAGGTTTTAGGGTTTAGGGTTTTAGGGCTTGGGGTTTAGGGTGGGCTTCATGCTTCAGGATTCAACGGGATCTGGATTTGGGCTTCAGGGTTTAGCGTTCAGGGCTTCGGATTCATCGATTCGTGCTCCAAAGATTTCCGGGTGGAGTGTTATCAGAGTTTACAGATACACTCGGACATATCGTTACACTGTTGAAGGTCCAGATGGTTGAGAACCCCGGACGCTGAAGGTTCAGGGATCAGGAGTTGCTCTTCGGCACACGACTTCAGGAATGAGGCAAGCCCTCAGGGCTGGACGGAGAAGTTACCGAAGAAGCCCTAAAAATTGCAACGTTTCCCCGTTTAATCCTCATGAATCCATATTTTTAGACCCCCAAACCCTACTGTTGTCTTAGGTCCCGACGTTATGCTCTTCAAGTTTTCAACCTTGTTATAAGTAAGTAAACATAATCACGGATTGCATGCTTAGGGGGTCCGGGTAACTATAGCCTCTCATAGCTCTAGTTATGGCCCAGTGATAGCCCATGATGCAATTACAGGTTTAATTCGGTCATAATAATTTTCCACGGACATCCAGGTATTAGTGTGTTGTCGAACCCGAGTTTTCTTCCAAGGGTGTAATGTAGGGCCGAGGGCGTCAAATTACATGGTTCAGATCACATAGCAGGCTGTCAAATTTATGCTCTGTTTTTGGGTTTCCATTTCTTAGTCACTTTTGGGGTTATGCGGCCCTTAATATACAGGGGCATTGTTGACAAAACTTGATTCTGAGTTCTGAGTAGGTCACCCGGCCAACTCTACCCGTACACCCTCGGCCTGCCCTAGGAGCCCTTCCCAGGTTCCAAATACAAAAACAGTTCCTAAGGGTCCAAGGACCCAAATGATAGGCCCTATTATTTGGGTCCTTGGGCCCTTAGGGACTGCTTTGTATTAACAGGGCTTCAGGTCCCAAATACCGTCAATATTATAGTATTTGGGCCCTGAAGCCCTATTATTTGGGTCCTTGGACCCTTAGGAAGCCTAAACCCTAAAGTCGAAACCCTATAATTTGGCCAAAGCACCTAGACAAGAATCCCCGTGGGTTCAATTTCAGGTTTGGGGCTTATGGATTCAAAGTTTGTAGCCCTTAGCCCCAAACTCTAGATTTTCAAGCCTTAAATCTGTAAGGGCTCTGGCACAAGCCTAGGCCTCGTCATAGCGATAATGGTTTAGGGTTTAGGGTTTCCCTGAATTTCTCAACCGTCAGACTTAAATGCATCTTGTGGATATGCTTCTTCATGAAGGGAGATTAGCAGTTGCGTCGACAATGGAGAGAAGCGCATAAGTGCAGTTCCGTAACTAGCCTCGACCCGAAACTCTGCACAATTTACTGGGTTACTGCTTTTCAGGAACTTGGACTAAGTTACAATAATATGGGCATAGAGCCACTAATGGGGCTTCCTTATTATAGTAACCCTAGACCCTGAATGCTAGGGTTTCCTTATTATAGTAGCCCTAAACCCTAGACCCTCAAGTTCCTTAACAGCAGCCCAGTTTAGCAGAGGAGGTCACGGACTCCGTTTGCAAGGCCAAGCTGGGGCTTCGGGACTTTAGGTTTACTTGGGGAGGGGGGGTTCCCTTGGAGGGGGGTGTGGGGCTTCCCCACGCGGTTTAGGGTTTAGGGTTTAGTACCGTTAAAGGCGTTATAGGGGTGATATAAGGTTTAGGGGTTTAGGGCTTCCCAAAATGATTTTGTACGAAACCCTAAACCCCAAACCCTAAACCCCAAACCCTAAACCCTAAACCCCAAACCCTAAACCCTAAACCCTAAACCCTAAGCCTCCCTTCACGGAGCCGATCAGGAGATCCAGCAGCCTTGCCGCGGGTCTGCGCAGATGCCTTACTCATTGGGGTAATATTGGGGTTATATAGGGATAATGGAAAAGAAAATGGAAACTACTATAATATATTGGGTAATATTGGGGTTATATTAGGGTTATATAGAGCCAACCAGGAGATCCGTGTCACACGAGCACGCCTCGAGAATGCCCAGCGTGAGGCCGAAGTTTGGTTTGCGAAGCGGCGTCACCGAAGGCTGGACTAGCAGTCTGAATGGGATCCGGCCGTCCATTCCCGGAACCCTTGGAGACAGGCACTTTGAGGCTGCAATTCCTTGGTTCCAGGCTCCTGCCCGTGTTTTCCTCTCTTTAGATTTTAGGGTTCGCCCCAAGTTAGCGCCTCGCCTTGCCTGCCTGCTTTCGGCACGCTCATCGCAAACAGCGTTAGTGCCTTCGCGCTGCCGCGCCTGTATGGTTTGTTAAACCCTAAGGGTGCAAGGACCCAAATAACAGGGTTTTAGGGCCCAAATACCATTGATATTATAGTATTTGGGCCCTAAGGCCTTATCATTTGAGTCCTTGGACCCTTAAGGAAATTTGTTGGAAAGGCTTTCAGCCTGAGAATCCACTATGGGCTATTAGACCTGTAGGGTACCTTAATCTACCCTTAATAGGGTCCTAATAGGGAATTTTAGGGTCTAATAGACCATAGTGGATGTTGGAGTTTGTCAAGATCATCCCGCCTTAGAGTTACGACTTCTGTCCCTTCTTCGAACCCACAAGAGTCGGCTAATTTGCAAAAGCTCTAACCTTGACTCTTAAACCCCCATACCCCCAAACACGGAGTCCTAAGCCCGAAACCCTGAAACTCCTAAATGGCCAAATTCTTGCCGTCTGTCCATCCAAGTACATAAATAGCATGTTGATTGGGCTCAAAGGTGTTCTTCTCCAGATACATTGAAAAAACCCACAAAAAATGGGCCCTGGGACCCTTCAGAGCTTGTTGCAGATGCCTGGAACCCTGATTCCTTAACCCTGTAAACTCTAGACCTTTACTCCTAAGCCCTGAATCCTAAACCGTGAAGCTCCTCAACGCCTAAACCCCCAAGCCCCTGAACCCCTAAAATTAAGACCTTAAAGCCCCTAAACCCCTAAACCTCAAAACCCTAAAGCCTAAAGTCCCCAAATACCCTAATCTCCACAGTCCTTATCTTAAACCCATGAGCCCTTACAACCCTCAAAACCCTAAACCCTAAACCCTGAACCCCAAACCCTAAACTCTAAGCCCTAAGCCCTCAAAACCCTTGGTCCCCTCGGAGGTGGACTCCGCAAGAGCGATGGCATGGGATGCCCGGGATGAGGCCAAGGTGAAAGCAACCATACAGGAGAGCCTTTAAGGTTCATGGTTTAGGGTTGAAGGTTTAGGGTTTAGGGTTTAGGGTTCAGGGTTTAGGGTTTAGGGTTTTGGGGTTTAGGGGTTTAGGGGTTTAGGGGCTCAGGGTTTAGGGTTTAAGGCGGAGGGTTTAAGGTAGTTCAAGGATCAGGGTTTAGGGTTCAAGGCTCAGGGTTTAAGGTTTAGGCTTTAACTGGCTTGTTGGCATCTGAGACAACTGAAGAAGACAATCGCAAGAATCCTGTTCCTTTAGGGCGTGCTAGACAGGTAGGGCAAGAACGCCGTTCTAGCCACGTTGACTGTGGATAACGCTTGGTGAGCTGCCAGTCCATCAATGTTTTCTGTCTGGCCCGGCAATCCTACAGACTTCTTCCCCGAACCTCCAAAACCCCCAAAAAGTACACCTCTCGGCCCTAAATCCTTTAACCATCGATCCTAGCTAAAACCACAGACCCTAGATCTAAACGTCAATGCCTAAACGCTATCACAACCCGCGCGGCTGTAGGATTGAGGAAGAAGACTCCCTATACAATCCCTTGTATAAGGGACCCCCAAGCCCGGTATAATAATGACAAAAAAATCCCCTGGGGTGCCCAGGGGCTCTTCATTTTGAGGAACTGCCGCCCTCAACCCAAAACCCTATAACCTAAATCCGAAAACCCCAAGCACTAAGCCTTAAACCCTAAATCCCAAACCCTAAACCCTAAGCCC